GATTCAAGCCTGGTGTCTATGAATCTTTGGGTCCAAAATGTCTGTCCCGACGTCTCTTCTAATGTCAGAGCTGGGTTCCATTCCAGCTTCTGAGACTTCCAGTGTCAGGTGAGGTAAAGGCTTCAGGTCCCCCGTCTTGGTTTCCCTGTCTGTGGATGGGACACGGCAGTGTGTTTTGGAGGTGAGAGTTGAAATGGAATCATAGACAAGTTCTTAGCACAAGGGAAGAGGGGCGCCTTCATGTTGGGATTTCAAAGACAAGTCGGAAACTGGAGGAGAGCAAGGAAAATGATTAAAGGGATCAGGAAACGCCGGAACAAAGCACTCCCTCCTGTCCTGCTGGGACTTTCCCATGTCCCTTCTGTGCCCTGTGCTGGTCCGCAGAATGGCCCACCAGCAGCAGGCCTCTAATCAGATCAGCCCCCCACTGCACGTTCTCTGATGGCTGCTGCCTTGCCCAAGATCAAAGCCAAGGGCTGCAGCCCGCCGTCTTTTAAAGAGCTCTCATCCCACGGGCCGCTGTGGTTCATTTTCCTGTGTCCGGTATGCACTCAGCCATCATGGTGCAGGAAGGCCGTAGGTCTGTGGGTGTACCTTTCTTAGGAAGCCTGGAGCAGGGAGCACTGGAAATGAATACTCAGATTGATCACGTTTTGCCATTTGTTCCTTAGTGTGTGTGTCCGAAGTGTGATCATAGGTCACAGATAAGACACGGCTTCTCTCCAGTTGACCCCAGCCCCACTGCGCTGTATTGCTTTCCTATGTGCATTGTTTTCTTCTGAGTGCATGCATACGTGCCCGTGCATGTGGGGGCCAGAAGACAAGCTCAGCTCACAGTCTTCTGATGTCGTCCACCTTGCTTGCTGACATAAGTTCTCTAATCTCTCTAGAATTCTCCAAGTAGTTGGATGGCTAGAAAGTCCCAGGGAGCCATCTGTTTCCACTTCTGTTTGGAGATTGTCAGTGTATGACACCATACCTAACATTTTTTTTTTTGTTTTTTGTTTTTTTGGTTCCTGTCCGGGAACTAGCTCTTGTAGACCAGGCTGGCCTTGAACTCACAGAGATCCGCCTGCCTCTGCCTCCCATTTGTGCTGGGATTAAAGGGGTGCACCACCACCGCCCGGCTCATGCCTAACATTTTTAGATGGGTTCCAGGACCTCATAGCTGCCAGCGATCACTTCACTGACTGAACTATCTAACTTCGTGCCTTACTTGGTACAGTGTGGTGTGCCACTGTGTAGGATCAGGTGAGGGAGTCGTTTTTATTCATCTCCGTCATGATTAAGAAAAGAAACCCCAGGGTTCCTAAAAGGCCTCTTACTAATAGTGTTAGGCCGTGTTTTCTTTCTTGCTTTGAATTTGAGTTTCGCTTTTTAAACAAATGCATTCTCTGTTGGAATGTTTCGAACAGCTGGAAGAAAGGAAAAGCCCCTGTCACTTTCTGGGATGCACCAAGTCCCAGTAAAGTTCCAGGTTGTTCTTCAGAGATGACTCTTTCATCAGCTTGGTGTGTATCCTACATATTCCTTTCAGGCAGGTGTTTGTGTGGGGAAGGATGAATCATGTTTAGAGACATTAGCTGCATTAGTATTTGTTCCTGTCTTATGCTTGCACTGTGGAGTGCACCTTTCTTCTAGTGTGTGTGTGTGTGTGTGTGTGTGTGTGTGTGTGTGTGTGTGCATGTATTGCACGCCTGTATCTGTGTGCACGTACACCTGTGGAGACATTGCATCATATTTGAAAATAAAGATACCTCACTGTTTATTGGACTTGCAAGCCTGCCTAGCCTTTTGGCATTCAATTCGAATTTATCATCTAACCAAACTTACCCTTGAGAACCACGCAATAGCACCATGGAAAGAAGCCCCCAGGATGAGGCTTCAGAATGTTTAAGTTTACAGTTGTGTCAAGTCACATTCACAGCTGTCCTGGGCCACACGCTCCCTGCGGTGGCGGGTTGGAAGCAGGCTGGATTGTAAACTCCGTGTTCAGCAGCCACTTCTAGGGTACTTGGCCTTTATTTGTCTGGAGCCACATGTTGCCTGTTAAAAGCTGCTGAAAATGGCTTTAGTTGGGGTAAAGAAATCTCTAGTTCCACATAAGCTCAGCTGCTTTGATCATCTTGTCCCCTTAGAGGTGGCTGAGCGTGTACCCCTATATTTTAGCCTCTATAGAATTTTGACCACGCTAGGATCACATTAGCCCTTGTGACAGGAGCTGTGTGCAAGCTTCTCCATATTAGTATGTTTTGCAGTAATTACAAAGAGCGGGGTTGCTGTTTGGGGGGGGGGGGTGATCAAGGGTTTTTGCATCAGGAAATGCACACAGAAAGCATACACAGATGATGAAGTGCAGGAAATCAGAGGAGTCGGCTGAGGACTGTGCAGTCCTTGTTTGTGTGTGGAGAGAGAAGCTGAGTCTGCCTGAAACCTGCAGCTGTTGAACGTCAGATTTATCCCTCATTACTCCCCTTGGGGGAGCACAGGGAAAAGCATATGCATGCACACACACACACACACACACACACACACACACACACACACGAGGCTATGCAGCTGAGGGATCTCCTGTACTTTAGGAATGTGGTAATAGTTGCAGCATCCCAGATTCTTCCAGAGCTCTGCAGGGAGGGAGGCATGATATAACTCTGACCCGTGACCATCACTTTCCCTTATGGTGCTTTCCCCAGACCACAGCCTATCAGACATTTGGCCATGGCTCACAGGCTCTGGAGGCTAGGCCCTGGCTTGGAAAGCTAATGAGACATGAAAGCATCTCTGTGGGAAGGGAGTTATGTCTGCTCCCCTCCCCATCTGGGGCAGATGGCTTTGGGGAGGGTTGACGCCTTCCTCATGAGTGTGGATGGGGCAGTGTTGTGGCAGGCTGTGACAGGGCTAGCTGCCGGCAGGCTGGTCCGCTAAGTCAGGGACTGTGCCTTCCTAAGCCCTTTGCTGGAGTCACAGTCAATGTCCAAGTTGGCTGCTGTGGAGTTACGCAGACAGGCAGCTTTCACACAGCAGTGGGGACTTGTGGTTCTGTAGGTCTCACAAGAGCTGTTGGGGTTACAGGTGGCTGCCTTCCACTGTGTCCCTATATGACCTCTCTTAGTTTGGGTGTGGGTGTGGACAGAAAGCAAGGCCTCTGGTGTGTTATTATATGGCCACTAATCCCAGCAGAGACTTTTCCCCTGATATAACATCAGTGGACAGTGTGGTCATTTTCTAAGGTTTCACCTCCATTTATTTTCACACAAGGGTTAGGACATCAATGTGTGATTTTGGAGAGTTTAATTCAGTTATAATTCAGTGTACACCGAGGTTATTAGCACTTTTGATTTTAGATCCCCCACATTGTGTTGGAGATCAAATCAGGGCATCACCTGTGCTAAGCGAGTGCTCTACCTTGAGATAGATCCCTAACCTCTTGTTATATTTTATCACAAGGCTTGGTCTCATTAAGTTGCCAGACTTCCCTCAGATGCCCTTTGTAGCCCAGGAAGGCCATAACTTCTGCTTCTCCCACCCCAGCTTTCTGATAAGTTAGAAAGACAGACACGCAGCACTGGACCAGCTGGTAAACTGTTTGCTCTGAGAGTGTGAAGGGCTGCATTTGGTGTCCAAAACTCATCTTTAAAAAATAAAATCTGTGTATGGTGGCGCATGCTTATAATTCAAGCTCTGAGGAGGTGGAAATGCATGGATCCCTGGGGCCTTTTGTCTGTCTGGTCCAGTTTGGTTGACAAGTCCCAGGCCCCAATGAGAGATCCTGTCTCCAAGACTGAGGAGGATGGTGCCAAGGGATTGACCTCCACACATGCGTGCTCACATATGCGCTCACACAACACACATACATATTCATAAAACACAACAACATAATAATATGGACCTGGAGAGCTCTCAGCGCCCACAAGGCAGCTCATAACTGCCTGTAACTCCAATTCCAGAGGGCCCAATGTCCTCTTCTGACATCCACAGACAACTGCACACACATCACACACACACACACACACACACACACACACACACACAGAGGCATGCACACATGTACACATGCACACATGTGCGAACACTTATGAATCAATCATACAAAATCCTAATAGCCCCTAGAAAGGGGATCCTTTCACTATGACTACTGTGAGCTCAGTGGCTGGTGTCCCTTTCTGAAATTCCTGTATGCTGTGGGCTTCTGGGTAGGAGCTTGAGGTGCCTTTATTTTGGGATCAAATTTAATTCTCTCCACTTAATAACTTTCAGATCTTGGGGAAAGTTACCTAAAGTTTCCTAAGCCCTGGCATTCTCATCTATGAAGAGGGAATAATAAAAGTTATTCTGGGGTTAAATGAGGGGGAAAGTCATGATGAATTTGGCACAAAACCTGTCAGGACTCCTTACTGCACAGCGTTGCGAAGCACTTTGCTAACAAAGGGGCTGCAGTTGTTGTTGGCACTGTAGCTCTCATAAGGAACTTAAGGAACAAAATGCCCTCAGAAATGATGTTAATGAAAAGGAATTGCCACCACTGCTGTTGGCTCCTCGGTGTTCATTTTATCCCCACTGCGCTGCTTTGCACACGGCTTTTACCCTTTTGCTTCCAGGCAAGCTTGGTATAATGTGTTGAAAATACTAATTATGCTCTTCACCTTTTCACAAGACTTCAAATATGAAACTCTTGTTGCTTTACTTGGTGAAGTGGTGTGTGTGTGTGTGTGTGTGTGTGTGTGCCTGTGTGAGTGTCTGTGTCCCCATGGTATGTTTATATGCCTATGTGTCTCTCTAAAAACTTGTGTATATGTGTGTGCAACTCTAGGTCTGTGTATATGTTTGTGCCTGTGTGTGCACGCATGTTTGTAAGCATGTGTCTGCATATGTTCTTGTGGGTTGTCCCCTAGTCCCCTCCGGTTATAACAAATTATTGATACCAGTTCCTTTAGAAAGACAATTAATGCAATTACCTTCCTGTTGAATCGATACTAATGTCTTTTTTCTTTAATGTGCAGGTTTTGGTGAGTCCTGCTGCTGGCCAAGCTGAGGTAGGAAACATGGCTTTGCTGTCTTTGGGGACATTTTGAAGTGGGTTTCTTCTTTGGAGAGAACTGAGCTTCCTGGATGTGCTTCTTCTCCTTAGACTTGGTGTTTAGGTTTGCTGTCTGCGGCAAGCTTTCTGTGGTGCTGGGCTGGCCTAACCCCTTGCTCACAGAGCAGGCTCTTAACATCCTATAATGGTGGTGGGGATTTGGAAGATGATTTCTGAGAACACGAAAAGGATGATGGCAGTCACTGCCCAGGTAGTTTACAGGGAGCACAATGCATAGCTCCATGATTAAATACCTATCATGACCTCAATAGCACAGAAATGCTTTCATTGTTTTAATTATTGTGATGTAAAATACTCAGAAAAATCTTGAGCTAAAGCTGCTGCCACCATGTCTGTTTCATAGACAGGTAAACAGAGACTAAGGAACCCTCAAACTTTCCAAGCCTCATTCAATGAAGGAATGAATCTGCGCCATGTTTGTCAGGGTGCAGTGTTGAGCTCTGATTGCTATGATGTGTAAGCCACCTAGGTTATGGCCTGGTGCACAGGTCGTGTTCAGTATGTCCCTACTTTGCTACTTACTAAGGGCCGCTTCTAAACACTAGGCCACAAGAAGGCTTCCTGTCGTCCTGTCGTCAGCACCAGGGACAGCGGCCTGCTTCTTTGGCTCCAGCCCAAACACACCGCCGCTCCTCCCCCTTCCCAAGGCCTGCTCTCACCTTTTTGCCACACAGGACAACTTAAAACAGTCAACTGATGGAAGACAAACAAACAACAACAATAATAAAAATAACCCCTTTCCTGTCCCCCCTTTTCCATTTTCTAGCAGCCTTCTGTGGGGAAACATTTACCACTATAGCCTTGATTAAAGAGTATTGGTTGGGAAGGCAGAAATACTTTGTGTCCTGATTGAAATGATGTTTAAGGACTTGACAAGCCTGCATCTACTGGCAGAGCTAGGGAAAATGTGTGCTGCTGCCCACCAACAGACACAGGCAGGGACCTTCTTGGAAGTTTTATTCTCATAGCTCCATGCTGGAAGTGGCTCATGCCCATTAACCAGTTCATAAACCCATCATGGTGAGGGATGCAGTGGAATGCAGGGCCACAATCCAGAATCAGCCACAGGTATGAGAAACAGCCTTAGGAACCACGGAGATGGACTGCTGGATGAGGAAGCACCTGGAAGGAATGGAGGAGGTACCCTGGGTTCTGTCATTTGCACACACAAGAAAACAGGCAGCACTCATCTCAAGTGATAAACTAAAGAGGGCCTCGGGAGGGGTCTTTCTGGGTGGTGGGGATGCCCTACAGCATCTTTAGGGTTTGGTGAGATGGCTAACTTCCGTGTGTAAAATGGATGGGTTTACGTTTAACGTGGGTGTGTTTTGGTATGTAGTTTGTAGAACTGGGCAAAATGAATTTGTTGGGAAAATAGAAAGAAGGGAAGGAGGACTGTGAAGAAGAGGAGAGAGAGGGAAGAAGGCAAGATGGGAGGGAAGGAAGGGGAGGGAGGGAGGTGAGAAATGGGTGTGAAGGAAGGGAATAGTCTTTCATGGCTGTGGAAAAAACACTAGGAATGGTGGTGGGAGATTTGCCTTGACCTCAGTTTCACAGGATTCATTCTGAGGCCATGTTTTAGGGCAGGACATCACGGCAGCAGGGTGTGGTAGACAAGCAGCTGTCCACGTATGAAGTAGAGGTTGGGGCCAGAATAGAGGGTTGGGGAGAATGAAGAGTGTGAGTACCCAGAACACAGGTGAAATCTCAGAGCAAGCGCAGTTCACTTACTCATCCGCCGATTCCTTCATTTATCTGCTGAGCTTCCCTCCTCCAGGTAGAATATATATTTTATACAGAGCCTCCTGTTTTCCTAACTGTTGTTTTGAAGTCTGAGTTGTCACTGTTGCAGCTAAAACATATTTGTTTTTCACTACTGTAGGGAGGTAACATTTTATTAATTGAATTTCTAATGGCAATTCATCAAAGCAAATAGTCCCTATTATTTAATGTGAGATTTAAATCCATGAGCAAACGGCATTTTCTTGTGTTCTTGTAGGTGAATAACAATAGATTAGGGAGCGGCATCGGTGTGGCCCTTTGCTGTCTCCAATCACAGTTTGGTTTTATTTTTTGCCTAAGTACAGACAAACAGTTGTAATTTAAGCAGAACAGACTCTACCTGTGGCAGAGACATGGGTTAAAGGGAAACAAAAAGAATTACAAGCCTGCAGAATGAGTGTGTGAATGGCTTCGCTAGCTCTCTTTTCTCTCTGCAGATTGACAGCGAATATGTGAATAACGTTTGCTAAATCCGGACTCAGGAAACATGACAGCAAGCTGTCTGTGCCAATAACTCCTCACGGCATATGCCACCCCTCCCTCACCACACACAGTTTTAATAAGACACCACACAGGCTATGGAGAGACATTAAAACCCTGCCGACGGAAAAGCTTTATCTTCCAACCAAATTCTGTGCCTTGCAACATTGACGACAGCTGAAGAATTTATCTTAAATTCCCTCTGCTAGCTGCAGAGCGCATGGCCTCTTTGTCCCCAAGCAGCCTGTAAGAACCAAACTAAGATGTCACATACATAATATAACAGATAAATGGCCCAATTTCCACACACACAAGACGGATGGAGTGCAGGTTCAGCACATACATATTTGCACGTTAATTGGCCCTGCGTGGATCTGTTTTGAACCTAAGTTGCAACTGCATGGCTCCCAGGTTCCTTCCCCTCAGGAATCATTAAGCCTGCTTTATCACACAAATGCATACACATTTCCCCCTATTGATCGTCATGCAGCTTGCCCTGCTGAGAGAGAAACTGGGTTACCTGGGCTCAGCCATTGCACTGAAAGTGTTTCTGTTGGCCTCTCAAACACAGACTGCATGGAAACACAAAGATCTGAGACCCAGCCCACGTTGGCTCTGCTGACAGCCAGACAAAGGACTCTGCTGGCCAGGATGTTTGGGGGAAAAAAAGAGAAATTATTCTCTTTCAGTTAACAGTTGTTTTTTTATTTTGCTTCGCCTTAGCGATCGCCTGTTGATAGTTTAATAGTACTATAGACCCAGTGGAGGGCCTCCATTTTGATAAATGGGACAGCTTCTGTTTGAGGGCAGAGCAGTCGAACTGGATTGATTGATATTACCGTTTTGTTAGCCCGAATAATTGCAGTGGCAAACAGCACAGGTGGTGATCACAGTGGCTCTGGGTGAAGTGGGTGGAATGTCCCTCCTACTGATTTTCTTCTCTTCCTTTCAAAAAGAAACTCAATTCCAGGCCAAGGAATCATTTGTTTTTTTCTGTTTCAAGTCTGTGCCTCAAGAAAGCTAATCAGGGGCTGAGAGCCAATTAGAAGTTGTCTGGGCTCCTTGAGAAGAGGCCACAATATTCAAGAAGGGGCTGAGCTTCCATTGCTCTGAGCAGCCCAACTCTGGCCATCTGATTCACTGGGGAGTGCAGCACTTCTCACAAGGAACAAGTGAGCTCCGCTTTAGGGTGGCAGGGGTTGGAATCTGTGTCTCATGGAGGAGTTCCTGGTTTACAGCAGACCCCTTATGGAGCCAAAGTCAATCACTCACCTAGTCGTTTCTCTGCCAAGTGTGGTGGTGATTCTCACACAGGATGGCACATGAGCCTTTCCTCACTATGCCCAAGTGTCTGACATAATTTAAGGGAGAAAGAATATATGCCGGCTCTGGTTCCAGAGGGTTCACTCCATGGTTCTTGGTTTTGTTGACCCTGGTCCACAGTGAGGACAAACTTCTTGGTGGAGAAAGCATGTGGCAGAGGCATGGCAGACATGGGGCAGAGAGTAATGGAGACAGACAAAGTCTCTGGGGGAGAATACTGTCCCAAAGGATGTACCTACAGTGACCTATATCTTTCTAGTTAGACTCTACCTCTACAGTTTTCAGAAACACCAAAGATGACACCACCATCTAGGGACCAAATCTTCAGTGTTTTATATCTGGTATGAACTGTAAACAGGGCAAAACAGTGTGTTTTTTATGAGATACCTATGACAGCCTGGCACCAAGCAGGTCTTCAATAATGGTTTCCCCCACCCTTGTTGCAAGCAGGGGCCACTTGTTGGATCCTGGCCACCCAGCTAGCTTAGACCTGAAATAATCACACAGAAACTGTACTAATTAAATCATTGTTTGGACCCTTAGCTCTAGCTTCTTATTGGCTAACTCTTACATCTTAATTTAATCCATTTCTATTAATCTGTGTATCGCCACATGACAGTGGCTTACCAGGTAAAGTTTCCAGTGTCTGTCTCTGGCTCCATGACTTTTCTCTGACTCCACCTTTCTTTCTTCCAGCATTCACTTTAGGTTTCCCCACCTACCTCTACTCTACCTTATCAGGCCAAGCCAGTTTTCTTTACTCACTAATGGTAATCACAGCATACATCACCTCCCTTTCTCTGTTTAAATAAAAATGAAGGTTTTAACTTTAACATAATAAAATTACATAAAACAAAACAGGTACCAAGTAAAAATTACAGATACAATATTTATACTTATTTTATATCTTATCATAACTAAGGAAAACTATAACTATAAATTCTTTAACTCCATCAAAGACTCCAGAAGGATATAATATTATGTAAGTAAACAGGAAGTATATTGTAAGCAACTTCCAAAACTCTAAGTTGATAGAAACATCTCACTGCCTGGACAGTCACCCAAAGTTCTTCTGTACCATTGAGGCATCCATCTTCACACTACAGGCCCATAGTATCCAGCAGACTTTTTCATAAAGCAGGAAATTTCAAAGACAGTTTCACCTATATTGGCAGTTTGTCTGTCACTTTCTTCTGTATCCTGCAGAATGTCCAGAAGACCCTTTTATGAAGCAGGAACCCTGAAGGATTGTCTCACTTTTAGGCAAATTTAGCAGTCATTTTTCTGTGGGTTAAGTTAAGCAAGCAGTCCAGGCAAGAGCAGTTTTTTGTCCAAATGGCTAACCAACTC